CAGGCATAGTACCTACACAGAAACAAAAAGATCAGACACATGTAATATATACCTAAACAGAAAATATGTAATATGGTTCCTACATGTACATAGAAAACAATAATTTTATTATTATATAATGTCATAGAAAATGAATGATATCATATACATGGTGTAGATAAAAGTGAAATTGGTAAAAAAAGGAAAACATCACTTTTACGAGAGATGATTTCCCCCCCCTACCTCTGTGTATGTTAGTTATACACTTTTGCCAGGTCAAGTTAAACAAATGCTTGAAATCAAAATAGTATTTTTTTATTTATTTTTTATTGTAGTGCTTGAATTGTTGCCAATTAATCAAGGGATATAGACTTAACATTTAACTCCACTTCGTTCTGCTCGAACAAATATCTGTAATACATACCACAAAACATTGTTTAATATATGTGCATGTTCCTGTTAAGTTAAAAAACCAACGATTTTATGGTGAAGACTGCATGCATGTGCTCACTTAACTTTCCTTAGTGAAAAGGGAATTTCAAGCACATTGGTTAAACTATTCTATTTGGCCATTTGCAGAAAATGCAACGTCTTAATTTTCATTCAATTATACAGTACAGTAAACAAAAAGAGAAAAGTTTAATCAACAATTGCTTTCAAACACTTAGCAGATTGGGAACATTTGTAATAGGACGAGGCGAATCACGCACATAATCCGTATTTAGTGTGTCCCTGAGTCCCGCATCGCCCTATGTTGTCAAACCAGGTTCGGTAGGTCACAACATTCGAAATCTATCGACTAAAGAAGAGATAATAGAATCCAAATAAACAATATTTATTAACGTGAGGATGGAATATTTACAGATGAGAAGCACTTTTACCCATACTTGCATACTAAATTCACACACGATCCCGCCCCGTGGTCTAGGTCCTATATAAGCTTGTAAAAACCCCTAGCCATTATAGGGTCAACGACCACCCGCCCGATGCTAAGCTATACCTGGCAAGAAATGCGGCACACCTCCGGAAACAAATCTGTTTGACTGCCCCCCATCTCACATGAAACAACTGTTTTGTGCTACACACCCGAAGCACATGCGCTCGTGCGAAACTATATGTGGTATGTTCTTGACTGTCCAGTCGATACACAACACGACAGGGTCAACCCCTGAGAGAGTCACCCAGAAATGACCAGACAACGTCACAGTTTCAACTACACTTTCTAAAGAATAACTACAGGTATGTAAATTACCGAGTGCACTAGATACTGGCCATGGACACGAATATCACAGTCTAATACACGTCACTTAGCTGACCGGCAGTGTAATGCCACAGGATAAATTAAACGTAAAATCAATATATATTGTACCCAATACCCTCCCCTACTATACATTATGTTGATGGGTTGAGATACAGCTAGGGGTTTGTTGCTAGTTAGGCGAGCTGCGAGCAATACATATCAGTATATGTAACGCACACCTGTGATACATGTATACCCGTAATCAGCATACAACACGGTGCTGCGTTGTTGTATGTGTAGTGTATGACCTCAGTCGCGCCTTGCTGCACACACAACACTTCGTCAGATTTGTTGACGTAAAGTTAGTAAACAGTCGATGACGACATTCCCAATTATCTAATAAATTTAAAACACATAATATCCATAACATGTATCAATGTGCTAATACTATCCTGGCGTTACAACAGAACAATGTCTAGACCCTGCCAGGTAGCTATGCAGTATGATTATATACGGGAGTGCAACAATGTCTAGACCCTGCCAGGTAGCTATGCAATATTATTATATACTGTAGTGCA